CACTATATGTCGTAGCGTCTGCACGGTTTCACCAATATACCATGCCTCGGGGCATCCTTGCCTGCAGCGTATGAGATAGACAACATTGGCCGAGTCACATCAGTATCTGCTGTGTACGTGGTGAGTAGTGTTCCCACGTGTGATGGTAGTGTCCATATTGAGGATCGGGCATGTCTTGCAGAAGTTACATTGGCAGGGTTGTACAGTGCTGTGGTTGATGTTGTCCTTAAGGCTGGACAGTTTGCTGCGAACGATGGTCTGTTTAAGGTCTGGCGGTTGTTTGCAAGTGAGAAGTGGAAGCATAGGGATGATTTGGCAAGATGTTCATCGGCATTGATGACATGTTGAAGGCTGCAAAGAACATGGAGTAATGTCTCCGCTCCGGGGAAGTACTGGACAACAAAGGATACTGTATCGGTTGTGTCCTGTGCCTGTCTTCTGAGGATGTCATCGCAGTTTGTCGCTGTGCCATGTTGGAACTGGTGATCGATGAGTTGAGCATTGTATACCGTCCTTATGAGGGCGTCCTTCAAAACTTTCAGGTATCTGTCGCGTTCCTCCTCATCTGAGCAGATCCTGTGTATGCACAGGGCTTGTCCATAGGGGCTAGCTTTTTTATTACGTTTAGGGTGGAAGCTAGAGCAGTGCAGCATCGTGAGGTTATCCATGGGCTTCCAATAGAGTGAGGTACTGAGGTGTCTGTCTTTGATGGAGATGTGTGTGTCCAGAATGAGGTTGATTCCGAAGAGTAGTCTATGGTAAGTCTGATGGTGGGATGAAACTTAGCAATAATATCGCTAAGTAGTTGTTTCACTGATTCCTTGCCATTAAGTCCAAAGGAAGAAAATGTCATCGATGTATTGGGTGTATAGCATTGGTCAGAGGTCCTGCGCAGCAAAGAGGTCTTTGCTGACAAAGATACGTGTTACTGTGATCACCTACCTGGAGAGTTACAGTCACCTGTGGACTGGGCCTTGGTCATCTCCAATTAGCTCTTTGTTTGATGATGGAATGGCCTTTGTGTCCTCCTTACCCTAGGCCTCTGCACACTTGATGCTCAGAGCTCCTCCCTCTGTGGGGGAGGTGTTGGCTCTCATCACAACCAGGGTCAGCATGTTCTCCATTGCCAGCTGCTGCCATCCTTGTGCTCAGCTGGTTAGTTGACCCTAGCAAGTGACCCGTAAGGAGCAAAACAAACCCTTTCACTGCCCATATAACTTCAGCCCAGGAACTGTATAGCACCAAAGGCACCAGTTTGTACATAGTGGGAATCCACTATGTATTATTTAAACTTTTACAGGAACAGGGTATTTTCCATTACAGCCTTCCCATTGTATATTCATCTACTTTTGCTGTTTTGCCCCAGATCTCTATGTAAAATCTCAACATCTCAATTAACAAGCTTTTAATGAAACCAACATTTTGGTCACCACCTATATTTTTGAGCTCTATATATATATAGACCAAAATGTTGGTTTCATTAAAAGCTTGTTAATTGAGATGTTGAGATTTTACATAGAGATCTGGGGCAAAACAGCAAAAGTAGATGAATATACAATGGGAAGGCTGTGTCAGGCTAAAACAAGAATTTATCACCAACTAGAACCCATTCTTTGTAACACAATTAACCAGCATTTGTTTACTATATCAGGTGCTAAGGAAGTCGTAAAACCTGAAAGAACTGCGGGTGCTGTAAATCAGGAACAAAAACAAATTTGCTGGAAAAGCTCCGCAGGTCTGGTAGTATCTGTGAAGGAGAAAACAGAGTTAACGTTTCAGGTTCAGTGATCCTTCCTCAGAACTGATGGTGGCTGGGAAAACTTCAGTTTATATGCAGAAAACAGGAATTTGGGTGGGGTAGGGAGTAAACGATAGGACAGAGCCAAAAGAGAGAGAACAGTTGGACAGAAAAAGGAGTTGTTAACGATCAGGCTGGGAGAGTGAATAGTTGTTAATGGGGATTGTTAGTGACTAACAACAGGTGGTATGTGATGGCAGGCTATGTGATAACAAGGCCTGGTGTGTGGGGTAGGGGGCTAGGACATGGGAGAGTTTAAGCTCTAAAATTATTGAACTCGATATTGAGTCTGGAGAGCTGCAGGATCCCCAAGCGGAAAATGAGGTGTTGTTCTTCCAGGTGTGTTGAGCTTCGTTGGAACACTGCAGCAAGCCAGAGACAGAGATGTTGGCCAGGGAGCAGGGTGGTGCATTGAAGTGGCAGGCAACAGGCAGTTCAGAGTCTTTTTTGTGAATAGAACGTAGATGTTCTGCGAAGCGGTCGCCAAGTCTATGCTTTGTTTCCCCAATGTAGAGGAGACCACATTGTGAGCAGCGAATGCAATAGACTTGATTCTGGGAAGTGCAGGTGAAGTGTTGCTTCACCTGGAAGGTATCTTTGGGCCCTGGATACTTAAGAGGGACAAGGTAAATGGGCAGGTGTTGCACCTTTGCCGGTTGCAGGGGAAGGTGCCATAGGTCTGTGCGGGGGTACTGGGAGTGAAGAAAGTGTGGACCAGGGTGTCCCGGAGGGAACGGTCCCTGCAGAAGGCGGACAAGGAGGAGGAGGGGAGGAGAATATGTGTCTATAAGGAAGTTGTGTTTTATCAATGAGTATCCCAGTCTAATCAAATTGTTTGTGTCCTCAGAAATTTAATCCAAATAGTTTGAGTTCTCCAATTCTATCTTTATATACACTATCTGACAAAACCCCCACACCCCACCAATCCCATCTTTCAAGACTTAAGTGACATTTACGTGCAGGTTTTGATTATAGCTCTATGCAGAAGTGTGTTATGGAATATCTTGATTCTGATTTCACCATTATTGTTTCTAACAACTACACAATTGAGGCATCTTTTCAAATGTTAAGATCTCATATTTCATTTCCTTGACATGCTTTTCTATGGTTTACAGGAATTTCTAAATACACTAAGAGTTTTCGTTGAGTAGCTGAATTAAAGGAATAATGGTTGATTGCATTTGCCAAAGGTAAAATTATGTACAGCATACAATTCTAAATGAATCCTCTGAATCAAAGTTCAACTTAGACTTAGGTGTGGTAGAAAAATCAATCTGACATAATTTACAGATTTATTCACAAGTAGGGTACTATTAAGCATATCCAGGAATACTTCTTCTTATAAAAGACATGTAATACTGAGTAATATTTTAACACATAAGAATAGTGACTTGATCATAATTATTTATTACCATCATCAGTATAGCTTTGTCTATTGCAAGGCTCCACTACTATAGTTAAGAATTTCAAATTGCACTTTCCTAGGGATAACAAGATCTTTTAAAAAAATAATTTATGGGATGTGGATGTCACTGGTTGCACCAGCATTTATTGACTGTCCCTAGTTAACCTTGAGAAGGTGGTGGTGAGCTGCCTTCTTGAACCGCTACAGTCCATGTTTTGGAAGTTGATCCACAATGCCTCAAGAAGGGAAATCCAGGACTTTGCCCCATTGACAATGAAGGAACACTGATAAATTTCCAAGTCAGGATGGTGAGTGGCTTGGAGGGGAACCTGAAGGTGGTGGTGTTCCAATGTATCTGCTGCCCTTCTCCTGTTAAATGGAAGTGATCGTGGGTTTGCAGGTGCTATCCAAGGGTCTCTGGTGAATTTCTGCAGTGCATCTTGTAGATAGTACACCCTGCTGCTACTGAGGGTCAGTGGTGGAGGAAGTGGATGCTTGTGGATGTGGTGCCAGTCAAGCAGGCTGCTTTGTCCTGGATGGTATCAAGCTTCTTGAGTGTTGTTTGAGCTGCACTCATCCAGGCAAGTGGGAAGTATTCCATCACGCTCCTAATGGACAGGCTTTGGAGAGTCAGGAAATGAGTTACTCACTGCAGGATTCCTAGCCTCTAAGCTGCTCTTGTAGCCACTGTGTTTATATGGTGAATCCAGTTGAGTTTCTGGTCAATGGTAACCCCAAGGATGTTGATAGTTGAGATTCAGTTTGGTAACCCCATTGAATATCAACGGACAGTGGTGAGATTGTCTCTTATTGGAGATAGTCATTACCTGGCATTTGCTTCATTAAAATAGTGTAGATAGAGAGGTCAGAGTTGGAATAACAAGGAACCGGAAACTTGACAGTCAAGCCTGTGGACTGAATGCAAATGTTCAGTAAAGTATTCAACCTTTTAGTATTTGACCTCTAATATGGAGGAGGATACAGTAAACTAAATTGCAAGAAGTACAATTGCTGCTTCACTTGTAAGGAGCTTTGGGGCTTTGGATGTGGGAAGAGAGAAGGTAAAAGGTGAGGGATGACATTATTCTTTCCTTTTCCTGCTTTTGTACTCGATTAAAACCAGTTCCAGCTCCAATCTTTTCCAGTCTGATGAAATATCATTGGCTTTAAATGTGCACTGAATTTATGTTTTCATATTTCAAGTATTTTGCTAATCAACAAATATAACTGAATTGCCAGACTTTGAGAGTTGGAGTGGGAGGGTGAAAGTGATTGGCCTGTGTGCTATAGTCTGCAGTCTCAAGCTGGGCATTTAATTTGTTAAGTGTATTAACCTACTGTTATGCCTGTTAACAAAATATGACTGTCATCCAAAAATCTCTTAAACCTTCAATATTGTTGGTTAATATTTCCATTTCTGATAAACATTATACTAATGTTAATTTTCCACCACAATTAATTATTTATTAAATTTCCCTGAATGATGTCACCTGCTCAAGTTGGTGTTATACACAATTCATTTTTTTTCCTGTAGCAAGAGAAAAATAAATTGTTGACCAAATCAAAACAAACTCCTTTCTCTATTAAAGAATAGCAGGACTCACCTTCACTCAACATAAATTCGATCAGAATATTTATTTGATTTGAATGCAAAACTACATAACATAAAACAGTACATCATACTATCAGACAAAACTCCTGCAAGCTGTTCTTGTTATCCATGATATCCGTCTGGATGCAGAACTGTACAACTGAGTGCAGAAGTTGTCTTTTTCTCAAGTATAAATAGAGCAATAGGTTGGTATTTTCGATTTAATGATGGCCAGACTCTCCTGCAACACAAATGCAAAATTAATGCAATATATTAGTAAATCATCAAACAAATTCTCAACCTTCCATCACTTTTTAAGCAGTAAGGGAATCAAGGGTTATGGGAAAAGGGCAGGAAAGTGCAGTTGAGCATTATTCGATCAGCCGTAGTCTCCTTGAACAGCACAGCAGACTCAATGGGCTGATTGCCCTATTTCTGATCCTATGTCTTATGGTCTTTTGTTCATAAGCATCGATGTTTCAGCAAATGCGAACTCAGATTAATTATCTCCAATTTTTTTTTTTTTTTTACATACTTGTTGACTTTCTCAGGTTACCTGCAATGAACATGAACCTGCTTTTATAGTCATGAAGACAGACGCTTCGGTCCAACTCATCCATGCTGACCAGATATCCTAAACTGATCTAGTCCCATTTGCCAGCATTTGGCCCATAATCCTCTTCACCCTTCCTATTCATGTACCCATTCAGATTCCTTTTAAATGTTATGATTGTACCAGCCTCCACTACCTCCTCTGGCAGCTCATTCCATATGCAAACACCTCCGCATGAAAAAGTTGCCCTTCAGGTCCCTTTTAAATCTTTCCCCTCTCACCATAAACCTACGCCTTGGAGTTTGGACTCCCCCATCTGGGAAAAAGAGACTTTTGCTATTCATCCTACCCATGCCCCTCAACACCTCTATAAGGTCACCCCTCAACCTCCAATGCTCCAGGGGAAAAAGCCCCAGTCTATTCAGCCTCTCCCTGTAGTTCAAACCCAGCAATATCCTTGTAAATCTTTTCTAAAAAAAAAAATTTCAAATAGAAGACCATCACATTTGTACAGCAGCTATTCGCCAGCAAGATGGCGGCAGCGTAGCACACTCCACCCAGAGCTCCTCTGCTCCTACTGTTTTTTCTCTTTCTTTTCTTGTTTTCCCTCTCTTTTTAGCAGCCCTGGGGCAGAGCGAGGGGAAACGAGTCCTGGAGATCCACGAGAGGAAAAGTGAGTCCAGGAACAGTGTAACTTACCTTGGTGCAACTAAGTGCCAGTATAGAGTGGACAGGAGGCTTGGAACAGAGTGGGACTGTTGTTAGACTGTAGCCTGGCTCAGGCGGTCAGACCACATGCTCGCTGAGCTGCTGCAATGTAATGTCGATCTGAAATTCTTTACCGGACTGTAACGTCAATCCTTTAACTATGTTATAACTATCCTACTACTAATTTATTTTTTGAAACACTCTAAGTAATGCTACTACTTTTCCTTTTATTCGTCTATTGGGGGATTAGTAGCTAGATTAGTACCTAGGTGCTTGTACCTGAGATGGCGCCATTAGAGGCAGCCATTGTAAAAACTCTTCATTTATTCCTATACTTCTGTGCTGGAGTACAGGTGGCAATAAAGGATATTCTATTCTGTTCTATTAATGTACAACTAGCAGTTCTGTTTTTGGAAAAATAATAACTAAGTCAAGTCATTCCAATATCCTTCATATTTTAAACACTTGTTACGTATCTGGGAAAGAATTCTGAATATCACAGTTGCCAACCTGCCCTGAAACATCAATTTCACATTTCTCTATTACAAGGCAACAAGATAAATGAAAATAATTAAATGCATGAAATGAACTAGATCTGTTTAAGTAAGCTATAGATAGACAAGTATGAACATCAACATATAGCCTTTCCAGTGGAGGACTTCCAAAATTCATTGGAAAAACTGTGATATAAGAATTGCTTGGTTTAGCATCAGTTCCAACAGTACCACTTACGTTTATATAGTACCTTTAATGTGATAAAACCTCTCCAAGTATATTGCAAGAGTGTTTATTAAACAAAATCTGACATCAATCAGCATTTGGAGATATTAAGTCAGGGTGACTTAAACCATAAAAGAAGTCTGTAAGGAGTGTTATGAAAGAAATACAGGAAAAACAAATCACAGGTAGAAGGGAACATAAGCAAACCACAACTGGGAATTATTTGTAACAAATCTATTGACAGATATTGGGTATTTATAACTATAGATATCTACCCCTGCTGTGGCCATTGGTTATATGGGAATATTCAATTCAATTTTCAGTCTGATCCAATTTCAAAAGCTTGTTTCAATACACATTTATGGCTCGTTAACAGCCATTTCAAAACACCTTTGAGTGACATGAGTTTAGATTATAATTTATATATTTGCAATTAGCTGGCCTTTTGCTTCACTTCAAGGCGAGCTAAAGTAATTTAGCCTGTTATGACCATGCATGCACATGTTTACCTTTCCACCATGCTGTTCCAGTCTCTGCAGGGCATCTGTGATTGGCTGCTTAAGTTTTTTGTCCATTAGTCTTTTTGACAGCTTTAATACATATGAAAAGGAGATTAAAAGTTTTAAAATTGAGAACATCAATGATTTCTTAGCAATTTAAACAATAATCAGGAAGTTGAAAAGATTCAAAGCAAAATAAATTGACTGAATTTGTCTCTTCAAAACGTAAACTATCCCAGTCAAACAAAACTGTCCTTTTTCTGACCAGGATATTGTGGTTGGTTGTGCAAGGTTCAATTTTTGTGGAAAGTAACTTAAACATGACAAAATCCATTTTTCCAATGCATCAGCAGTAGAGATAAGCTAGCAGAATTTGAGTGAGAGTGCAGACAATTCAGATTTTCCATGTGGGAATGGGTGTGTTAGGTGGGGACTAACACACCACCCCCTCTGCTGAAATAACAACTTATCACATGCCAATCAACTCATTAAGAGGTGACAAAAGAGACTATGTGAGTTTTTCAGCCTATCACTGACACCACAGGACCAGAAGCTGCTAGTACATCAGAAGCCGACACCTCCTGGATCCTTAAGGCCATTAGTCAAAGCCAGATCTTTAGGGAATCCGCTGATGAGAAGTTAAGCTTCTTCTTATCACAGTATGGGGGTTGCCAGGAGACAAAGTTTGCAGGGGTGGTGTTAGAGGTAAGGGCAGAGAAGTGGTCTTCAGAGGGCACCCCCATTCGTGCTTGCAAATGTCCCCACTTTGGGGTAATTAGAGGCCTAGTGACCCAAACCCGGCTGAAACTTTGCCATGACCTCCCAGTTGGAAAACTAGCCAACTTTCTCACTTGCTGGGAAGGTAACTTATCCTGCTAGTGACAAGTTCAGACCTTTAAGCAGTCAGTAATTGGATGCAGAGATATAGGCAAGGTGAGAGAGAGAGAGAGAGAGAGACAGAGAGAGAATGAGACAAAGACAAATACAGACCATGTGCACAGACCACTCTCGGGGTCTTGTTTCCTCAGTGCATTTTCTTGTTCTGGTCTACCGAGATGCTTTCACACACAACAGGTTAGTCAGCTTGTAAAATTAACCTCCCTTTCCCTCCAGGTCACCAGTGTTCGAAATATGATCATGGTTCTTGGAGTTCATGTGCCTGGTTGAGCTGTTTGGATTACATCTGGACAATATTATTTCATAGTTAGAGTACAACTGACCAAGTGACATGTCTTGTGGTTTATGTCCACCAGGTTGATTATCCAGGTGATTGTTGGGAGGTTTTGTTAATAATTTAGGACATGGCCCTCGTTGACACTCTTCAAGACAATTCCTGCTGACAACTTGTCTCCATTTCAGCAGCTTTGTAATGTGGAAGGTTTAGTTATGCAAAGGTTCAGCCATCTTTGAGACTGTTGTTTCAAGTCTTTAGAAGGTGGCCTCTGAATTTAACAATAACCAGAAGTTTTCAGCCAGTAAATTCAAAAATCATTTTTGGTATAAAGCATGGCTTCACAAATGAAAAAACTACTTTCTGCAATGGGAATCATGTTATTTCTCTCTGGAATCAAGTCAGGTGTCAGGCAGATTCAAATGTAACTCCAGGTGCAAAGTGCAAACTCCTTTTCAACGTAAAAAGATCCTTTGTTAACAAAGAAATTGACATTAAGATATTTAAGTACATTAAAAGGCTACAGTGACAGGCAGTGCCTCAGAAGACAGCTGTACATACTTACACTAGTTAACAGATGTTTAAGATGGCTATTTACAGCTGGACCAACAACAGCACTAAGCTGGACCAAAGCACACAATCCTCTCTCAAAAACCTCAACATCTGAATGTGCCTTTAGGGAGAAAAATAACAATATTAAAAACATTCCACAACAATCAAAGGTTAAAAATTGATTACCATTTTACTAGATCCTGCGCAATTGCACTGACAGCTACAATTCTCAATTTTATCCAAAGCTGTAAACACTGTATAATAAAGCCAAAAATCTTTAAAATTGTTGTAGGGTGCACACACACACACGTGCAAAAGTTATCGTATTTAAATAATGCAATAATGTATTACTATCACTCCTTACAGCACCAAAGCGAAGTTGTGTGAAACTTGTGTTTCTCTTACTTATTTCACAATTGCCTCAGGCAGCCAATAACATATTAGGCTTTGACAGTTTTTTCTAAATCCCCCAAATCCAAAACTACCTCTTGCTATTTTGAGCCAATGCCCTGAGATGACCCATTCCATGGGAGAATATTCTGTGCTTATCCAGAATTTTTAGGAGGAATGGTTAAAAATGTAATTGGATGGGAATTTTCAACAGAAGGTAACTTAGTTTTATTCATGGAATGTGGGTGCCGATGGCTCAGCCAGCATTTAATGGCCATCTCTAAATCCCCTGGAAAAGGCAGTGGTGAGTTGCCTTCTTAAACCATCGTGGTCCTTTGGGAGTAGGGTTAACCACAGTAAATGTTATGAATGGCACAGACAGAAGTAAGACTCTAAAGATGTGGTTCTGAAGAAGAGGCACACTGGACACAAAATTTCATTTCTCTTCCCACTAATATTGCCAAACCTGCTGAGTTTCTCCATCATTCTGTTTTTGATTTGGCCATTTTCTAACCTTCTGGGAAGGTCGGTAATCAGGCTGGTGATGGGTCGAGATCCTTAAGCGGCAGTTAAGTGACCACTGAGGGTATTTAATCAATGCTGGGGTGGGAAGGTCTCCCATTGACCTTTCCATGCAGAATTAATTGGTGTGGCAGAAAGAGATCAATTGTTTCTCAGATTCCAACCCAATCCACTACTTGCCTTTCTCATCGTCTGCCCTGCCGCATCTCGGATGGGGAAAATCCCAACTGACAACATGAAGGAAATTTCTACATAACTGGATGTTAGACGAGTAGCATGGCAAATAGGGAGACAACGGAACAATCAAAAAACATAAAGAGAGGGCAGACCTTAGCGTTGGCAGTATGTATGTGGAACCTGTGTTTGGATAAAAACCAAAAGAACTGCGGATGCTGTAAATCAGGAACAAAAACAAAATTGCTGGAAAAGCTCAGCAGGTCTGGCAGCATCTGTGGAGGAGAAAACAGAGTTAACGTTTTAGGTTCAGTGACCCTTCCTCAGAAGGGTCCTGGGTTCTGAGGAAGGGTCACCAGACCCGAAACGTTAACTCTGTTTTCTCCTCCACAGATGCTGCCAGACCTGCTGAGTTTTTCCAGCAACTTTGTTTTTGTTCCTGTGTTTGGATAATGTTGCTATGGGGCAGTGAGTAATCATCAATCCTAAAGTTTACCTTACATGGAGGCTGGACTACATCTGGTGTAGAACCATATCGTGGACTAATAATTCTATTGCATGGACAGTGAGCTGGATGGCTAGCATTTGGTTCAGAATAACACAGCAGCGGGACTTTGATTCCAGTTTTGACTGAGGTAGACCTGGGACCTGCCTGCTTGTGTCAGTCCCAGAGAGTGGAAAACAATAGTAAACCATTACTGAAATTAAACAGCTGAGGATGAAGTATCAGCAGACAACAAGCCAAAGATCTGCCTTTGGGAAAAGTGCACATGTATGGAATAGAATTCCATTCGTTCATTCAAGTGCACATAATCCCTGCATCACCATGCAGTATATTTGGGAATTAGAAAGCCAAAATAGTGCCTCATGAAATCTACAATTACAGACACAACACATTTTTGTATTATTGTCTGGTCTTAGGTTTAGTTTTGAGTGAAAACTAGGCTGAATAAAATGACCTATTAGTACATAAGCCCAGGGTCCAAGAGGAACACGCAAGTCTTCCTATTTTCTTGAGATTTTACTCGGTATAAAAGTGACAAAAGAATCAGACTGGTTATAAATTTGAACTTATTGCTACACTGGCTTCTAATTACTGTATAATAAATATTTTAGTTAGCATTTTATAATAAAAGTGCGCAATGGCAAAGATGCTATATGTTCACATCTAAATTAATAATTATAATAACATCAGAATCATAAGAATTAGGACAGAGGTAAGCCAGTCAGTTCAAGGCTACTCCCATAATTCATTAAGATCATGACTGATTTGACGGTGGCCACTTTCTCACCTACCCATCATCACCTTTGACTCTCTTGTCAACCAAAAATCTACCTAGCTCAGCGCTGGATTTTTCAATGACCAAGCTTCTACTGGTCTCTGTACAAGTGAAATTCAAATACTAACAGCCCTCAGAAGAAAAAGTAAATCTCACTATCTCTGTCATAAATGCAAGACCCCTTACTTTTAAAATGTGTCTCCTAGTTCTAGATTCCCCACTGGGAGAAACAGCTTCTCAATAATTACTCTATAAAGCTTGCTCAGAACTTTAAATATTTCAATAAGGTTACCTCTCATTCTTCTCAACTCTAATTTCAACAAAATACACAAATGGATTACATAAAAAATTATCAAAATGCAGGCATCAGTTGTTAATAGCATGATGGACTTTGTCAGTTGTGAAACTTCTATTTACCAGAGCGGCTTTTAACTTCGGAACCACCTTTGGAACTAGTGGAATAGCTTTCTCAGCAGCATCTTCAATCTCTAGCAATTCCTTAAAACCTTCCTTGGCTACAAATGTGTAAGGGTGTTTAGTTTCTCTTAATCCCTGTGTAAAGTAACAGGCAAAACATTAAGTAAAACTGGCGGCTGAATTGATAGCCAAATTACATTTGAAAAAGACAGTGAGGTATATTCTTTAAAATGCAACAACCCCACCCAGTGGACAAAACAATTTCAATACTCTGTTAGCATTCTACATACTTCAGTAGGCCAATACATACTTGTACTAAACCAAGTAATATCCAACACCACTGCCATTTGCAAATTTTACACAGTCACCCGAGGCTGGAATCGAACCCGGGTCCCTGGTGCTGTGAAGCAGCAGTGTTAACCACTGAGCCCCATGCTGCTCCAGGCTCCTTCTCAACCCTCGCAGCTCTTCTTGCGGCCTCCATCACTCGATTGATAAAGATAAGGAAGACTGAGGAGGAGGCCGAATTACTAGCTCCAACGTTGAGAATTCTGCAGCAAGGATCTCGCCTCCACTGATAGCCTGTACACCATCTCTGCGGCACAAGTGAGGATTGTAATGGAATACTCTCCAGTCGCTTGGATGAGCGCAGCTCCAACAACACTCATTAAGCTCTACACCAACCAGGACGGAGCAGTACAGTCGAGTAGCACCCCATCCACCATTTTTGAAATTCACTTTCCTCCACCATCGATGCAATGGCAGCAATGTGTACCATCTACACTGTATCGACTCACCATTCCATTGACAGCCCCTCCCAAACACTCATCCTCTACCACCTCGCGTGACAAGGGCAGCAGATGTTTAGGAACATCAGCACCATCTGCAAGTTTTCCTCAAAGTCACATACATCCTGCGTTGGAACTACAGCATTCCCACTTGTTAGCCAAATCCTGGATGTTGTCCAGGATTCTGGTTCTGTACTCAATGGAGTATAGAAGGATAAGGGGCGTCTCACTGATACTTACAGAATACTGAGAGGCCTGGATAGAGTGGACGTGGAGAAGTTGTTTCCACTAGGAGGAGAGACTAAGACCTGAGGGTGCAGCTTCAGAATGAAGGGATGATCCTTTAAAACTAAAATGAGAAGGAATTTCTTCAGCCAGAGGATGGTGAATCTATGGAACTCATTGCCACTGAAGGCTAGGAAGGCCAACTCACTGAGTGTATTTAAGACAGTGATAGATAAGGGAATCAAGTGTCTGGGGAGAAGGCAGAAGAATGAGGTTGAGAAAGAGATCAATGGTGGAGCAAACTCGATTGACCAAATGGCCTAATTGTGCTCCTATATCTTATGCTCTTACTGCGTTTGGACATAGACTGCTTCTACATTTGAGCTGTGGTGAGTGGCGCTGAACATTGTAGAGTCATCACTAACATCCACTTCTTATGTCATTCCTAAAGCATCTGCAGATGGTTGGGTCAAGAAGACTATCCTTGGTGGAACTTAGGTAGAGATATCCTGGAGTCGAGATGACTGACCTCCAACAACCACAATCATCTTCCTTTGTGCTGGGTATGATGCTAACCACCAGTTTTCCACTGACTCCCAGTTTTGTTAGGGCTCACACCCAGTTAAATGCAGCCTTGATGTTAAGGGCAATCACTCTTACCTCAACCCTGGAGCTCAGATCTTTTGTTCATGTTTGAACTAAGCATGTAAGGAGGTCAAGAACTGAGTAGCCCTGGCAGAACCCAAATTAAACACCAGTAAACAAGTACTGCTTCATAGCACTCAATCACTTTGCTGATGATTGAAAGTAAACTGATAGGGCAGGAATTGGCCATGTTGGATTTGTCCTGTTTGTGTGTACACAACAGACCTGGGCAATCTTCCACATTGCCAGCTAGATGTCAGTGTCACAGCTGCACTGCAAGAGTTTGGCTAGGGACAAAGGGCAGTTAGGGATGGGCAATAATTTCTGGCATAGACAGTGACACCCAAAATACTGTGAATAGAATAAAAACGTAGATGAATGAAAGTAAAATCAGGAATAGAAAGAGAAATGAAACTGGAAAAAAATGTAGGATTGAAAAGGAGTAAAATAAGAGAAATGTGAAATATTTAACATTTTGAAATCTCAATTCAGTATGTTGCTAAAAATGGGACTCCACATCATTTACAACCATGAATACAATTACAGGAACTTAGGCTATTATTTAGACTTAACACTCCTTGACAAGTTAAATGAGGAATTAAGTGCAAATGCAGGAACTTCATTAAACTAACAGAGATGATGGGCAGTGTAATTCCTGTTGAATTGAACAGAATTAGGTTTATTCTCACCGGAATACAGTAAAAAGTTTACAAGTTACCACCTACGGCGCCATCTTAGGTACAAAGGTACCTATGTATGGATCCTTGAGCACAAATTTGGGAAAAATAATTCGAAAATGAATACATAAGAAGTCCAGCATTACAGACCTTCAAAAGTACAAAACCATAGTAATAAATTACAAAAATAGAGATAAAAAAGATCAGAATAACAGTTCCTCCACGATATTAGGAAAAAAGAATTTAAAGAATGGCAATTTACGACAAAGTCCACTTAGTCCATTTCACGCTCTGGGCTCGAGGACCCGACTCCCACCCCCACTGGAATCCTAGGCTGGACCCATTATGATGCCAAAGAAAACAGAGTAACAGATTGACTGAAGCCGCTGCAAGATGCACGAAAACAGTAGTATTAGTGTCCCTATCTCTGAACTAGGTGGCCCAGGTTCAAATTCCCCCTGGTCTAAACATGTGCAATAACATCTCTAAACAGGTTGATTGGAAAATATCAACAGCAGAACAGCATAAATTGTCAAGGAACTTGTAGCAATTTTCAGTTCATGGGACATCACTTTGTCACCACAAGTTGAAGACTATTTTAACAGTGCGTAGAATTCAAAGAACATACATTTTCTCAGTAAATTCTGGCCCAATCTCCCCATGCTGAGCTGCTGTGTTAGCTGAAGTTTTGATCTGCTTCAGAAAATGGCTGAAAAGAGAAGACAGGTGTTGTCTTGAGTGGTGTGCTTCAGGGATTGATGCTGGAGCCTACATGGTTCAGTAATGTATACAGTAAAAGCATAATGAAATGGGTCAGTCCTACCTCAGCTAAAGTAGTAAGAAGAGGGTCAAAGCAAACGGTCTCTGGTGGCCGATCCCATTGTAGTCTATGACTTACTGAACCATGAAACAACCTGTTGGAAAAAGATGTGCACGAAACAGTAACATTAGAAATCCAACTTTAAATCTAAAGCAACAGATAAATACTTCATATATCCCCAAAAAATTTCAAAGCATTTCACATAAGAAATCACTCTCATAAATTATTGTTTAAAGTGAGAATCATTTTACAAAATGAATGACCAATTAACTTGAGCAACAGTAATCTCTTGGATTACCAGAGGAGACTATGTCTGCTTTTATAATAATTAAAATTTACAACGTGGAAGAAAAAAAATCACCGTTATGATTTTTACTCTCAATTATTACGTACATAATACCACTGGAATAGCTTTATTAATCCTACACCAACATGCAGCACTCATTATCAATATGGAAACATTTACTTTCAGACTCATTAAGAAATAAAACATTGTTCATTTTAGTCTATTGGGGTCGATGAAAAACAATAAACATTCTGTTCGTTTTATCCACATCAGATAGGCTGTCTCCAACTTCTGAAATGACCTACTGCACTATAACATATTTCATTCCAATTACCTTTAACTTTTAAGGAAGAATTCAAATTCAGTGGCAGTTTGGCAAAAAAATGTTTACACATTTGTGTTGCTGCTTCTGTCTCTCTCTCACTATAAACTACCATCCCAGTTGAGGATTTTGTAACGGGTGTTTTGGATCTTTACATGAATAGTCTGGAAAGAATTTAATGCCAAAAGATGAAGGGATGAAAGGTCATCTTTTCCCATCCAAGGCTACTTACGTACTGCCTACCCAAGGAAAGTAATGTAGAATTGCTACTTTCTCACTCCACAAGTTCAAGGCACACCAAGCCGTCTATGCAGCACTAAGTGCAATTTGTACAGGTAAGGTTATGCAGGGTAGCTATTTAATGATGAGCTAATTACGTAATAAGAAAGTCTCAGCAATAGTCAACTTTATTATATAATGTAACTTCTTGGATTTTGTTTCAATCTAGTGACATGTATCACATACAAATTAAAGGCATTACAAATAACATTTAATGGAAAATCCCAGCAAATTTCCACATCAACAGGGAGGCTTCATAAAATCTCCTGTCTGCCAGAACAGATCCTTCTTTGAATTTATTGTGACCAGAACTGTTGTAAAACAATAAAGAATTGATTACAGCTCACTGTAGTTTGTCAATTAAAATATTAAACTGATATTGATTGCATAGTTGAGCTCCAGCTTCAATTTCCATGCATTACTACCTTCCAGCATTGCCCATCTGACAGAATCTAAAATCCCAATACATTGGATCCGGGGAGGTAGGGCAGACCTGTGAGGTTGAGGCAAGGGAAAAGATCTGTGAAAGCATGTGGTGCAGAGTAGATGGTTACGTGGAGGTTTCATTGTTGGTTGAAAAGCTATAAGGCCTGCCATTTTTATTGCTGCAGCAGCAAGGCCTTTATGTAGAATTGTTTAGGCAACACCCACAGTGTGAAAGGAAAGTCAGAAGTCACACAATGCCAGGTTATAGTCCAACAGGTTTATTTGAAATCACAAGCTTTTGGAGCTGAACCTGACGAAGAGGCTACGCTCCGAAAGCTTGTGATTTCAAATAAACCTGTTGGACTATCACCTGGTGTCGTGTGACTTCAAACTTTGTCCACCCCAGTCCAACACCGACAACTTCCACTTTGTGAAAAGGAAAACAAGATTTAAAGGTGCCTTATGGCTGTTCACTCAGTCACAGCTTCACTGCAACCATTACTTCCTCAGAGATCATGATGCCATAATTTTGGCTACAGGCCCCACTTTGGAAAACCTGCACTACAAAATGTGAACTTTTTTGACGTTATCAAATAAATTAATTAAAATATCTGAGAGAATACAACAGAATGAATTGTAAATTTTTTGATACATATAATGATTTAACAATAATTTATCATCACACAAAACATCAAAAACTATTCAACAAAATTATGAGCATATATTATACAAAACAACAACAACTAAGGGATGATGCAAAGGCATCTTAGATCACTCAATGATTTCAAGTAATTTCTGATGTTACTCAAACCCATCCGTTAGATGATGCCTGTAATCAGTATCAGGTATCAATAATTCTTTTCCAGGAATTACCTGCAAGGAATCTCTCTTTTAGCATATGCTGCAGCAAATACAGATTGTTGCTTCAGTGGGTCACTGAACTGAAAGAAACAGTCATTTTAAAACATGTCATTTTGGAGTCATTACAACAAAATATTTCCATATCCAACACAAAATTAAAGCAAAATACTACAGACGCTGGACATCTGATATAAAATGATGGAGAAACTCAGCAGATCTGGCAACATCTGTGGAGGGAGAAACAGTTAACAATGGGTCTCCAATATCACCCTTCTTGAGAACCTAATAGAATACTAAACAGTCACTCCAGGTAATAAGGCTCCATGGTTTAAACTGTTTCTTTTCTGGACCAAAGGAGTGAAGAGCCATTGCAGGTACATAAATCTCATCCATAAAAGGGTACTTACAATTAAAGTACTTGCTCTATTGTACTAGACGTTTTATATTCAACCTGTTCAAAGATGCTATTACACATTTCTGAAGTAGGTGGGACTTGAATCTGGGCCTCATGGTCCAGAAGTAGGGACACTACCACTGTTCCACAACAGCTCGCAACATTCTATTGCTCTACAATGAGTTTAATTTAGCAATTAATGAGTAGATGCAGCACTTTCATATAAGACACAAGGAGCTTGAGAAGAAGTTGTAATTTGAGAGGCTAATAATGGAGCACTGCAAATGAGCAACACATTGTGATTTGCAATTCGTGTGCATCTCTTCTTTATACAGGTAGGTGGATGTTTTAAACAGCAAAAATAAAGAAACCTATCAACATCACACAACCTGGGCTAACGATAGCTCAAGTTAGAGGAAGATATTTAGCGTTTTGCAAGATTTTGTAGAGATCTTGAAGGCTGCAACAGTGATGATGTCCTCTGGTTAGACAATGCGCAGAATGGAAACTGGAGTTTGGTACAAATTAATCTGACAGCTTCATAAAACTTTTACTTGCGTGCTTGTTTCTCCAGAACAATAAACGAACAGCAGTCTGCTGTAATAAAACTTATTCCTATTTTCAACCAGCAAAGTGCAGTTAGTAATCCTTGTAGAGATAGGGAATAAAAGCAATTTGTACTCCTAACACAGCAAAAGTTTTGAAAAAAACAGATACTTTTAGAAGCTAAAGAGAAGTATTACTGCATTTCAGCAAACTAAATGCTACTACTAAAGCCTAGTAACTCTCATTGCAAATGTTTAGACTGTAGAATCTGGCTTCTGTGAACAATCACATCATTGGGCTAAAGATCCTCACATTGGCACATTTGTTGCATGGCAATCCAATTACCCATCAACACACAAATTTGTCTCAGAACCCAGGTTATGCAGAGCATCCTGAAGGCTACAAAACCGCTGTCTGTAGGCTGACTCCCACAGCAGAGATATGCTGCACTGGTACAATATTTGAAAGAACTATTTTACTTCTCAGCAGCTTGGGGACAGTAACTAGAAGTGTCTCTGGATTCTCTGATAGATCAGCGAAGATGCTGCTTGCAGCACAGAGCATTAAGGAAAGTATGTGAGAGTGCTAATAGTAGGAGGCAGCACAGAAAAGTGGTTCAGGCTGTCGGATTGGAATTGATTGTGGCTGTTGGCTAACAAAACATAGTACCCATCACTCCTGAACCAGGCCTTGCATTCAAAGCTTTAATGGAATATGAATAAATCACTTTTATGTGAGATACTTGTGAAATGCAAGATTCACCCTGTGGTAAAAATTGTAGACTCAAGGTAGAATCTTATTGGTCGTGCCAAGGCAGCTCTGACCGATTGGAAGGCAGAATGGGAAGTTGGTGGGTGGCTAATGTGAACATCACGGGCAAATTTGAAATTCTAGCAGGAACTTCCTGGAGGTGGACAGACTTAGGCCAAAGTGTAACAGTTCTCTAGAAACAGTGTGCTGGGTGTAAAGGCAGGGTTGGGGAGTGGGGGTGGGGTGAGCACCAGAGTTTAAGGAAGAGAGGCAGAAGACCGGCACCCAGAGCAGAGTTGCCCCTTAATTCTGCAACACTGATACTGAAGTCCTTCTGGGCTGTTAGGTGGAAGGGAAGGTCCTCTCTCCTGGCTGGTGGAATTCCATGCACCTCTGTTTGCCACCATGGTTCAGGGATTTGTACACACAGGCTTGGCCAACCTTGAGAGAATGGCCAACCTTGTGAACAGCTGTGAGCAAGTGCACTCAATGTGCCTACATAAGCAATGCACTGATGTGGCATGCATTCTGTGCATACGCTATAATATTAACCAGACAATAGGCTGATGGCACAGAGATGGGGGTGGATTTGCCCCAACTTGTGCTGCTCTCTAGTCAACAAGAGCACCAACAAAGGCAGAGTCACAATGAGGAGGTTAAGGATACTACCCTCACAGGGTCTCCTTGATCTCTGTGATTGAGGGACTATCTATGCAGCAAGCCCAATGACAAAGGCCCACCCCTGTGGGGTCACTCGTGCAGCAGTCTCCAGTGGTGCTGATAGTAGCACCTCAAAATGAGGACAACCGTCATCTCAGCCACAAACACATGCAACTAAGCAGGGTCATTGAAGGGGAACAGTAAAACCTGAAGACAAATCTACAGCATCCATTGGTGTAAAGAATGTGTCTATACCAAGCTGTGTCTTCAGTGCAAGTGGTCTCAGAGGCAGCTGAAAGAGAGTTCCAGATCATGAAAGTGCCTGGATTAGATTATCTCTGAACAAAAAGCAAAATAACTGCAGATTCTGGAAATCAGAAACAAAAACAGAAACTGCTGGAAAAACTCAGCAGGTCTGGCAGCATCTGTGGAGAGAAATCAAAATTAACATTACGGGTCCAGTGACCCTTCTTCAGAACATTACTCTGATTATCTCAAACACTGATGTAAACCAGATGAAACTAGAGCCCTACCCTAGCCTGTTTGTCTTTATGGCTGTGGAAACTGTATTCTGCATGTTCCTCTTCTTCCAATAAACTGTGCTGTTCCAGGAACTCACCCACTTCAAAGTCTGCACCTCCCTATGCAGCCAGGTCATAGAAACTGCAGGGCACCACCACGAGAGCCTGGCAGGAGCATACTGCAGGGCACCCCTCAACTGCTCCAGGCAGCAGAATTGCATCTTGAGAAGTCTACTGAATGGTGGTGCTTGTGAGGTTTCAGTTTTAGTAACTTTGTGCTGCAGTCTAAGAACCCTACAATGGATAGTTAGAATCCATTCACAGAGTTAAGGGAGGAATATTCAGTTCTGGCAACCTGCCTGTTGAAGGAGCTAGTCATGGTAGTTCCTAGGAAGATCACCAAACATGTACAGGAAGCTCTTCTTGTGCTCATGGACCACATGAAGATTAAGGGAGACTTCTATTAATGAATCACTTTGGTTAGTCAGCCAATGGTCTGATGGACACATAGATGCAATCATTGATATCCTGCATAGATACTTTCTTATCAATTTTTTTCAGCGATGTTATTACACCTCTGCAGCAGGTTGCACTTGAACCTGGGCCTCCTGCTCCAGAGTTAGGCACACTACCACTGTGCCACAAGAGCCCTCATGACTGGTTTATCATTGAATTGTCAATGTCCATGCATGTGGTCTGTCCCTGATCAGACATGCAACTTATGTATCCCCATCAAAACCCCAAACAAGCTCTCAATTAGCTAATGAGGATTAATTGACTTCAATCCCAAACTGTGTTGATTGCCAGATTCTGCCTTCCCCATCTTGAAGAAAGTAGCTGGCTTCAGGAATGATTACAGACAACTAGCACACCAGCTGAAAGCACTACTTTTAGCTCCAGTCCATCTCCATTCCCAGGGGGTCGTCTTATAGTGCAGCGGCAGCATCCCTACCCCTGGACCAATAGACTCAGGTTGGAGTTCCATCTGCATCAGAGGTGTGCAATTACACCTCTGCACACCTGATTAGAAAAATAGGTTCATATAGAATTTTCCATCTCCATTCCCGCAACTGTCAGAACCTAGAATTTCTGCCCCTTCTTCACCAGACCTTATTGGAAAGAAGGTGAAGCAAAACCTTCTGGCATTGGTTTTGTGAATGCAAAGACATTGCTTGATAAAATTAAAATGTAAAAAAGAGAATTCGGTATCTATCAGTTTGATATGCATTCAGAGAATCATAATCAGTTTGGAGATATAACAGACAGCCTATAGGTATATTTTCTGGAGACAGTAATCTGATTTTTTTCTTTGTTTGTGTGGCAGTAGTCCTGGTTCACTTGGGTTCTCTTTATTCTTTAAGGAAACTTTTAATTAGCCAATGCACAATCTTCCCTTACAGGCGCCACATATTTGGATGTGGAGGAAAACACCAAATAATAACCGACATTAAGTTTAGCAGCATCTATGCAGAAAGAAACAGTTAATGTTCGATTTCAATACAACTCTTCTTCAGAAATAGACTTGGATTTGAAAGAAAAGTTATACCGGACTTGAGAGGTTAACTCTGTTCCTCTCTCCACAGATGCTGTACAATCTGCTGCATGTTTCCAGCAATTTCTGTTTTTATTTCAGATCACCAGCTTCCAGAGTATTTTGTTTCTATTGTACAGTTAAACATGGAGTTAGCTTGGGATGCTAGACCAGCAGTTCAGGTGGTGATAAAAGGGGTCACTTAATCATAAATAGTTTGAGATCAAGAGTTGAAAGTGAAATCAGCTTAGTTATCACCACTCACGGTATAAGAAGCATTCAGCTAACATGACAGAATCAAGTGAAAAAGACAGCTCTGTAGCAAAGGATGCATTGATTCAACACGAGAAACTAAAGCTTTCAATCCAGAATAGGAAGATCAAACCACCTGTTTTGGGTTTTGTAATTAACCACATTCACGTTTACACATACTGTATAAACTTGAAGTCAGTTGATGTCTGAAACTGTTAATTTGTCATCCTAAGGAATTACTGCTGAAGGAATCTCATCAATTTATTATCTCAGATCCCATGTTCCTGATAGTTGCTAATTATCACATAACAATTCAGTACTGACATACAGTGCGACACTGAACTGCTATTTGTTTTGCTAATACTGTACATACATAATCAGTCCCTCAACTCATAGGTAACTCTGATTATACTTACATATGGCTGTTAAACATTCTTGTATGCAGTCTTACATTTAAGCTGTGATAAATAATGAAAAGTCACCATTGTTCCAGAGGATCATAGGGCTACTGTCTCATTGGTGAGACATGATTGTTGGTGAGTTTAACCTGAGGGTCACCAGGCCTCAGGTGAGCAGTGAAAAGGTAGAACTATCACGGTGACCTCAGCAGAAATTGAACCCGCGCTGTTTGCATCACTCTGCATCGCAAACCAACCATTCAGCCAAGTAAGTTAACCATGCCAACATCGATCGTGGAACATCAGAATGGCTGCATACGTGCAGCTTAGAAGGAACCTTGCTAAGAGGAGATTTAACTAAAGTATTCAAAATCAGAGGGTTTGGTTCGTTCAGAAAACCAGGGATAAAATGATCCCCACAGTGAAAGAATTGCCAGCGAAAGAGAAATGAGGTCATAGAGGTTTAGGTCAGAAACAAAAAAAAAGGGGAAATCACAGTGCTGAGTGTGTATTATAGACCCCCAAATAGGGAGATAGAGTTAGAGGAGCAAATTTGAAGACAGAGTGCAAAAACAATAGTTGTGGACATAACTACCAAAACATCAACTAGGATATAAACAGAGTAAAAGGCCCAGAGTGCACAAAATTCATGAACTGCATGCAAAGAGACCTTTTTTGTATCTAGCACGTAACAAGCCCAATGAAGGCAAAATTAAAGATTTAGTCTGCAGAAATGAGCAGTGGTGGATGACTATTTTGGAGATAATGATCATAATACCTTTAGACTTTGCATCATTACAGAAAGGGACAAAGATTGAACAGGAGTAAAAGTTCTAAACTGGGGAAAGGCAAACTATACAAAGCTGAGAGATAATCTCGCAAAAGTAGAATGGTTATAGCTACTTTGAAGAAAGTCAGTGGCATATCAGTTGCTGGGGGTGGGGGGTGTCCACAAGCAAAGTTATATAGACACAGTTTAGATATGTTCCCACAAACAGAAAAGATGGTACTGTCAAAACTAGAGTCCCTTGATTACCTAGAAGCATATAGAACAAGATAAAGCAGAATAATTGGGCTTATGACAATCTCAAAAAAAGTAATACATTAGGAAGTTTAGAAATAATGATAAAGTATAGAGGTGAAGTGAAAAAGGAAATTCGGAAAACAACAAATGGATATGAAAAAATATCGGCCAGTAAAATACCTTCCGATTTTCCTTCATTTTGTTAGTACATTAAGAGCGACAGGATAACTAAGCAAGTGCTGGGCCACTTAAGAGCTATCCATGATGGACGCTGAAGATGAAGACAGAGTTCTGAATGAGTGTTTGTTTCTGTCTTCAAAAATGAGGGATAATACAGACATGCTAGTTAAAATGAAGGAGTATGAAATTAATACAGTAAGAATGAAAGTGCTGGAGGGACTGACCTCTTTGAAAGTGGATAAACCACCATGGCTGGATGAATTCTATTCAAGGACTCAGAAATTCACAGCGTAGAAAGAGGGCATTTGATCCATTGTGTCCATTCTGATCAAAAATTTGACTACACTAACCACACTTTCCTGCTCATGGCCCATAGTCCTTCAGGCGATGACAATGCAAGTGAATATCTAAATACTGCTTAAATTTTGAGAGTTTGTGACTCAACTACCCTTTCACGCAGTGAACGCCTGAATCCCACTTCCTTCTAGATGGAAAAACCTCACTCTTCAACTCCCATTTGAGCTTTCTACCTCTTACCTTAAGTCTATGCTCCTGGTTATTGACTATTGGAAAAAGTGCCTTCCAATCCATTCCATCTGTACCCTTCAATCTTATATACCTCTATCAAGTCCCCTCTCAACCTTCACTGCTCCAGTGAAGACAATCCCTGCTATCCACATAACTCACAACCCCGAGCTGAGGCAGTATTCTGGTAATTTTCCTCTCCATCCTCTCTATTGCAATCACAGCCTTATTATATTGTTGTGACCAGAATTGCTAATAGCATTCCAGTTGCGACCTAACCAGCATTTTACACAGTTCCATCACAATCTCCCTGCTTTTGTATTTTGTACCTTGTCTAATGCCTAGGGAAGCATTCCATTTGCCTTCTTAACCAAATTATCTACTTGCCCTGCTATCTTCAGAGATTTATGGATATGCACATTAAGGTCCCTCTGATCTTCAATACTTTTTAAGGTCCTGTTCAAAGCAATCCCTTGCACATTAGCCCTCCCTAAGAACATTGCCTCACACTTTTCCAGATAAAATTCCATTTGCTACTGCTTACCCACCTGACTGCAGTTTGCAGCCATCTTCCTAATGGTTTAGCACCCTAACAATTTTCGTGTCACTTGCAAATTTCTAAATCATATCTCCTATAATTATGTCCAAATCATTAACGTACACTACAAACAACAAGGGCTCCAGCAGGAAGTCCTGTGGAACCCCACTGGAAACAGACTTAGTCACAAAAATATCCCTCTACTTCCGGCTTCTCAGTTAATCTTGACATGGCACTTGGCCTTGGATCATTCGGGTTCTTACTTTCTTGGACCAGTCTGCTACAAGGGGACTTAAAGGCCTTGCTAAAGTCCATATGGGCCACAGCAAATATTTTACCTTCAACCACCACTCCTAATTATCTCAGTAAATTTGATTGAATTTGTCTAATATGACCTTCCATTAAAAAATTCATGCTGACTACCCCCGATTAATCTGTATCTCTAGAAGTTCAGATATGAAAGGAAGCCAGGGAGGAAATAGCCGATGCTCTGTGGATAATTTTCCAATTGTCACTAGGTAAGATATCAGACAATTGGAGGTCCGTAAACCTTGTACTCTTGCTCAAAAAGGTGCAAGGGAAGGCCACATAATTATAGACCAGTCAGTTTGATCTCAGTAGTGGGTAAATTACTGGAACCAATATTGAGAGATGTGATTAACTACTATATTAATTTAGAGGCACGGATTAATTCAAGATACTCAGCATGGCTACGTTAAGAGATGGTAAATTTTTGAGGAAGTAACAAGGAGAATTGATGAGGGTGGTGCAGTGGATGTTATCTCCATGGATATCTATGAGGTATTTAACAAATTCCCACACAGTAGACATACAAAAATTGAAGTCCATGGGAAAATTGGGAATGTGGCCAGTCAGATCCAACATTTACTTAATTACATAAAGCACAAGGTGATGGGTGACAGGTGTTTTTGCAATTGGAAAGCTGCTTCCAATAGCATTCCAAAAGGCTCAGTTTCTTTCTCTTGTTGTTTGTGGTATACATTCATGATTTAGGCTTAATTTTGGAGATATAACTGGTAAATTTCAGGCAACACAAAGAAGCAAATGGAATTTAACTCAGACCTATGAGCTTATGCATTTTGAAAGGGCAAACAAAGCAAGGGGATAAATTATAAATCAAAGAGTATTGAAAGAGTATAGAATAATAACCTTGGAGTACATGTGCACAGACCCTGTAAATGGACGAACAGATAGATAAGGTGTAAAGAAGACATATTGGTTGCTTTTCTTCATTGGGTGAAGTATCAAATACAAGAACATGGATGTGGAACCTATAGAAGACATGGCTAGGCAACAGTTTTGATACTACTTCTCATTCTCATTTGCTAATTACTTTAAATCTATGCCCTCTCCACACATCACAGCACAGATCATTGGCAGTGATTTTCCCACAGACAACTTCCTACTGGCTGTCACTATATAATTACAGAAGATTCACAAGCTCTCGATGCTGCAGGCCCAAATCAGATAGCCAGCAGGTCTGGAATCTCGACTGCCCCACTGAGGGGTTTGGGCATCAGTGTATGCCTCAACATGGAGGCTGCTACGCCAGCCAGCATAGCAGTAAGCAAATAAAACAAGAACTCAAGCTAGCAAGTGTAAATGAATCCAGAGGAAGCCCTCTGTAATAGACTGATCTCAGCCATGATTATGGTCGTGCATGTTTGTGTATGAGAGCCATCCTGACCCAGAACACTCCTCCTGCACCCCTCCCCCACCAATTTTCACCTCCAAGCCCAGCATCACAGAGTTGCAAATTTTGGCTTCTCTCTTCATGCCTGTTACCAGACCTGGTGAGTATTTCCAGCATTGTCTGGCTTCATTGCCATCAATCCAAACCAGTTAGCACAGGATGCTCTGGCTGACCAAATTAGGTACCATTCAGTACTAGAGTTACGCTGGCAAGCAAAAGCCAAGTCGACTCCAGGGTCTAGGCCCGAAACGTCAGCCTCTCTGCTCCTATGATGCTGCT